TCTGATGACGGCTTTTTCAACATTTACGATTTCATTACTTTCAGTCACTTATTCATCTCCTTTGACTTCAACTTGGAAGTTATTAGGTTATCAGAGAAGTCTTTGCACATCTTCGTCTCCATGTTGTGAAATCTTGGAAATTGCTTTTGAGCGATCGCTGTGAAAAATATTAAGTGCATATCAAATTCACCCTTCGCACTATATCTGCCGTAGCATTTCGCAACAGTTGTAGCTGCAAGAACCGCTCTCATATCAAAGCAAGTTATACAAGCTAGACTGCCTCGCCTTTACGAGCTCAGCAAAAACATAAATCCAAATCATGTGACAGGGAAGATATGTGCTGCGATTAAACTGCCTATTTGCATCGTTTCGAAAAGTCTGGGAGATACGGCGGCGTATTGACAATGGCGAGCTGAGTGGTCAAGAGCTCCAACAAAGGAGAAGGGCAAGGACGAGGCCCTTCTCTTCAGTCTCAGACGAAAGAGCATGGAATGTCGACCCCAAGCCTGAACCCCAACCTACGCAATGTTCAGAGTTAAGGGGAATTCGAAAAGGATCTTTCACTGTAAGTTGCTGTCATCGAACTCCACTGTTCCCACCGAAGTCTATTCTGTCAAGTTGGACCGCACTGCTGCCGCTCTGGGACTGAAATAGTGGCAAGTCTACTCGCTACACGACAGTGCTCATACACACAATGCGAAGGAAACCCAGAAGAAACACCAAAGCTTGGGATGGCACTTTCTGACCCATCGTATTCATCAGATTAAGCTCTAGATTGACAAATGATCCTCTCGCTAACGAACCATACGAGAAATAAGAAGTTCAATAATGTGAATCAGCCAAGATGTGAAGCAGCGAGTTCTTCTCATTGAGACCTCAAAAATCGGCGCGAACAGGATCCACAGGTTGCCTGATAAATGTCAGCATGTTTTGGCAGTGATGGCGTATTGTCAGTTGCTATTTGTTGTGAAAAAAAATTAATTGAAAAAACTTGCAGGACGCACAAAGACTTTCCCGACAACCGATAATGTGCATGAAAGGAGATATACTATTATGTCTGTGATGTGTTGAGCATTCGCATGTCTTTCAAATTTTGCCATTGTGAACTGGGTAAGTAGGGAGTAGGTCAGATAGGGACCCAGTGTTCCTTAAGTGTGATAAATTGAGTGTTGCTTTTAGCCGGCCTCTTTGACCACTGCGTAATAAACTGAAGGTAAAAAGGGAATGAATTGAGAAGAAGATTGCTGTGCCATTATCAATTTTGCATACCACTTTATTGGCTTGATTTATGTTACCGGAATATTCCAAATTATGCAGAAAAGAGTAATTCTGAAGAGAACTGTATAGGCGAAAAAGCAGCAGCTTACCTAGACTCTCAGGACTTTTGACGACGAGGTATGATGTGTAAAGGCACAATAAGCACATAAATAAAAGAATGAATAACCCGAAAGCAAATCCAGCCTGTAATGCAAAAGATATCTTTTCCTTTTTTGTGGCATATGTATATAAATTTTCAATATTTTCATTCAACAACCCAAATCAATATTCAATAGTCAATGTTCTTAACATTATCAACTACTAGTACGAATTTTCACCAAGACGAAAATGGTGTCGTTGAAATCTGCATTGTCTAATGCACCACACGAAAGCTGTTCGTCAAGTTAGGGTTCAGTACGGCATCGACAAATATCAGCACGGAACGTAGGTAAAACCATCGGACTCCTGCCCACAAAGGGTGGAGCGTGCGCTAGAAGTAGCGTAGCAGTGCCCCCACAAAAAAGGTGGTACACTACTACCGGTATTCAGCGGATCAAACTCCGAATAACTGAACCTATACTAAAACTCTAAAGCTCTTAGATGTCTCTGAAAATGGAAAAATATTAGGAAGGGGCCATGTTAGTAAGCATGCATGAAGATACAACTCGCTTTCACGGGCGTCTGAAAATGGGAAAACATTGAGGACTAGATAGTAGTGGTTTCGCAGGTAGCGTGAGTGGTCTGCAATCTGCTCCCACGAAGGGTATTCGAACTTCTGAATGAAAACGTAAAATAACGGAAGAAGAACGGAACGAAAGTAAGAGCTCTAGAGAAAGAGGATGTAGCGATGTGCATTAAGTCATTGAGCGATTTCGCGAGGGGAACTCAAGGCTCTCCACGGCTTGCAGGTCGAGGAAATTTGTAGTGTCCCAAAATGATAAGACTTGAGCTGAACTTCACTCGATGACTTCGACTGGCACAGTCTTGGCTAGCTCTGCGACTACTAACAAAGATGTCCAGAACGCATCAGTGTGCTTCCTTACACGCGTCCGTCGGAACTAGGACACGCCGCAGCCGTCGTACATGACGCGACAGCCCGCGATTCTTGACGAGTGTTGCAGTTGTCAGTGGGGATATGATTTGCGCTAAGACCACGACAGCCCCCTTGAACCGAAGATAAACGAACTTAAGGAAATCGTTCGCTCCACCAACTTTTAATGGTACTGCAGTGTTACCTCGAGATAAGTAGGCTACACCGCGTGCGAAGCGGGCGAGGTGACCTCCCACGCGCGGAACGAAAGTCTCCCACAACGTATGTCATGTTCAATTCTCGCGCCATACCGTTCAAACTAAACGCTGTGGAGTACTCCGAAATGCAGACACGCTAGGCTCCCCGCCTATTCGTTGTTAGTTTTCGTCCTGTCTTCGACGCGAAGCTCTCTTTCTAAGCTATGTAGTCGTCGCCGGTAGAATGACCACCCATTCTATACATCATTGGGCACCAACCATTGTACCATCCACCATAACCAACCCGAAGCACAAACGCTTTTTATAGGAAGAGAAGCGCGATGCTCCTGTCAAACCCGTTTTTTTAATTCAAGGGAGATTGATTGTCGGAAAAGGCTATCCTCTACAATAACAGTTGGCCACACCGTTGTAGTGAGTACTACGATTTGAATACTTTCGCTAACCTTTCTGAGGAGGGTCCGTGGAAATGTCCAAAATAAGTTATTCATTTAGCACCTAGTGGAACTGATACTGCTAAAAAGGTCCTTATATCTAAGGTCAACCAAGTGAATTAAATCTATTTCATTTATTTTCGTTCCTGAAAAACAGATTCATACCTGATAAAGACCCCATGGCATGCTCAACAGCGACACACCCATCATAGTGTTCCATATCGAGAAACTGAAAATTAGAAGGGTGACTAGGAATTGCTCAAATACTTTTAGTATCAAGAAAAAAGAATGAAATCAACACATGTTGGGTCTGACTGTGTAAGCTTCGAAAGTTTAGATAAACTGCCCTTTCGTAGCGCCAAACATCCCATTTCCTTTCAATCGGAGCGACTCCAAAAAGCATTTAGATAGGATTTCAGGTTTGAGAGAGAAATCATACCAAAAACTTGATCCGCATCACAATATTTTTTACTAGATGATGAGAAATGAAATAAAGATGGAAGGCAATGATTTTATAGTCTTCCTCTGACTCTCTTTTGTCAACCACGTAGTCGTGTCCTTTGTTCTTGATTAACTTAGCCTCCGATATCGGTGGAACTTTCATTATCTGCTAACGTTTCGGCAAAATTGTCTTCCTTGTGAATTAAATATTCATTTTTGATTCAATAGGCTACCTTTTCAAATTATGGGAGAATATTTTGAGGGCTGCGAAGAAAAAGCGATGAAGCCGATCTGTATTCGATTGGAGCTATTTTGTCGGCACTCTGAGTTGAAAGTTCCTCGCGATACTTCCAACTGTGTTGGGGCCAAAGAATCGGGTCGGAGAAAGCTGACCTGTAGGTTCCAACACATATAAAAGTAATGCGAGGAATTCAATAGGCTCAGGGCGCCGACAAAGTAGCTGGAATCGAATACAGGTCAGCTTCTTTGTTTCGCAGTCCTTAAAATCCTCTTTCTGTAATTTAAAAGGTAACCTAATGAATCACAAATAAATATTTGACTTACAAACTACGAAGAATGCGATCCTGCCGAAACGTTGACCGCTACTAAGAATTTTACCGATTTCGGAGGCTAAATTAATCGAAAACAATTGTTACTTAGGCTATGCCGAGATTAATGGAGAGTCGGTAATGGAATATTCATGTCTTCTTTAACCACGCAGCCTAAATCTCCCCTAGCATACTCACCCTCCCCTTTCTTCTCTCTCTTTTTATCTTTCTCTCATTCCTTCTTTGACTCCTACCCAGCGCTAGCATTATCACTATCTCTCTTACCCCCTTCTCCATGCACTAAAAGTTTCCTTAATCTTTTTGCTAACGTTTGCAGTGTTCCTTCTTTCTCTCTACATAATTCCATTTTTTCATTCCAGTCCAATTCTCCCAGTTGCTGCGTCATCAAGTGAAACCTTATATTATTGAACCGACGTCTCTATAAGGCTAGAACAATGAAAAACAATCAAATCAACATCAGTTCTAAGGTTTAATGAATGGAAGTTGTTGACATCCCTGTCTGTATTTTTCTCTGTTTGTTCATCTTTTTTATCCACACTAATTCAAAGCGTTCGTCTGAATCGTTGTTTCCGCTTAACTTTCTCTTGGTCTTTCTCCATTGATTCGATCGAAGTATCATTGGAAAGAGTCGGTCACTCGAAAACTGCAATGTTTCTTTTTGAAAGATCTTTTGAAAGGTCGTTTCATTTATCACACTACAAGGGAAGCCTTCTCCAGCTGTTATGGCTAATAAAATAGCGATACTTAAGTGAGTCATTTTTGACAGGTTAGATAATCTTTTATAAGTCAGCGTCAGATGACAGCCTTATTCAAAGCCAACTATCAATCTTAGATGTCATGGTCTTCTCAGATTGAAGTTGAAGTTAGATACCTCTAGGGATGAATGGCGTTGTGAATCATTTCCGGCACAGATCGAGTGCTTTCATAGCAGCATCTAATAAAGTACGACCTTTTTGATAAGCCCAGGTGAATTACGCGGGTGATGCCTATTTGGTCACTTATAAACCAAAGATTGAATGACGCAGTTCTTGCCAAGGTGCTTTAACCTTGAAGTGCACAAAGCCAACAACCAGACGCTCATTATAGTAACACACCAATTCCTTCTATTTAATTTCATTCTGTGACACAATGAGAAATGAAGAGAAGTCACTAATTCAAGATCTCATCTGGGTATTCGATCCCTTACAATAACAGACCTGTGAGCGTTACATCTATCTTTTGTAGAGCTTTTGAGAAATTAATTAAAAGGGTGACTGTGAAACATCTGGGAAACCAGCGTGTTCTTAACGATTGTCAGCATGACTTTAGGTGAACCAAGTTGACAGTGGCTCAGTTGCTAGAGAGTTCAAAAGCTGGATAGATGCTTTGGAGCAAAAGAAGATTGTTGATGCGATCTGTTTCGATTTCCACAAAGTCTTTGGCAAAGTGACCACGTCAAACTAATTCAAAGACTCAGACATGTTGGAATCCACTCACACGAAATTTTAGAGGCAAGAATAACGCCAGATGAGAAAAACAAGTGATATCAACGATTAACCGAAAGATCCGGATTTAAACACGAGAGTTATTTGAGAGTACGATTGTTCTAAGTTCGCAATGGGAATACTTTTTCCAGACAGCGCCTAGTGGAGTTCGTCAAGGAGGGGTGCTCTCTCCGATGTTGATTTTTATATATGCATACAATCTCCCCAGTTAGTTGAGGGCAACTGTGTAATGTGTAAGGTTTTCGCTGACGATATGAAGATTTATAATATTGTCCATACCTTCAGAAATTAATTCCATCTCGGTTCAAGGAGCTATTGAAAGGTCGTTGATACGGTGGGAGTTGCCTTTGTCCGCAAATAAAACCTCAGTTCTCAGCCTAGGAAAGGTTGGGAATAATTCAAATCGTTAGTTTTTACTTCTGCCTCGAGGTTTGTAGGTGGAAATATTTATTACGGCCGACGTTTCGACGGACTCGTCGTTTTCAAAGGCCTGAAAGTGGTTCAAAGCGTGTTGATTGTACACTACCCCACCAAGC